GCACTCGTCGTCTCTCTGTTTTATCCAGTCCCTCTATCACTTGCACGCACTCACACAAAATTCCTCCTTTTATTCTTTTCTTCTTTTTTTTTGCCTCTGACTTTTTCCTCCTTTTTTTTTTAAATAAAAGTTTGCGTTTTAGCTTTAGCCAGATTTATGTTTTCCTGCTTGCGTTTGCAGAATTGTTGTCGGAAGTTTTTTGTGCAGCATCATGGCACACACAGAAAGTTCTCAAAAAGATGTAAAAAAAAAAAAGTAAATAAAAAAAAAGAAAAAAAGTAGTAAGGAAAAGCCGGGCCAGGCAGCTGGAAAATGGCAGAATGGAGGGGCAAAAGCGAGGCGACCGCAAAATATGCTCAGTAGCATTGATGCGCCTTTTGACCCGGCCTTTGACTTTGACACTGAAACCGAAACCGAAACTGAAATAGAAACAGAAAAAGGCGGCGAAAGCTTTTCCCTTTGACTTGGCATTAGTTGAGCAGGAGTGAGTCTTATTAGCAGTTCGGTCTCGTGCTTACACAGCGAGAAAAGGGTTAGAAAAACGACTCCTTTTGGGGTGGTAGTATTGTTAGCTTTTGTTCTTCATATGAGATTATTTTATTTTATTTTTATAACTTCATCTTGTTAGAAATATTATATATTTCAAACGACTCCGTGGACATTTTCTTGCACAAAAAATATTAAATAATTATCGGATGTTTGCAAATCCATTTACTTATATTACATTTAAATTTTAGAAAAAAGTAAAGATTTTATTTCAAATGTTTTAAGACATCTGAGCCAAGTTGTCTTAGCAGTTTGTTCTTTATATTTGGGACTATCTTTGAATATTCTAAAGTCCAATAAATCAACCAACTTAAAAAATACTGTAAAACTAATTGGAAGACATTGTCAAAATCTTCTCTTACCACAATAATATATTTTTTCAATATTTTGTGAAGTGTTTCAAGTGGCTGTACAGCGGTGTAAAATGTGTCCTTTCGAGACCAAAAGAAAAACCAAAAAAGGAAACAACTTTTTCCACTAATTAAGGAAAATATTGATGTTTGCCATTACAAGAAACCATGTAACCCAATTTAATAAAACATATTTTCACTTTCGAGAAGCAACCCAATTATGGGGAATGTTTATTTTGCAAAGTGTGCTATTAGCTGTGGGATTACCCATCGAATGGTTCCCTTTCTTTGGGAACTGCTTGAGGTTAGGACCTCATTTCACTTTCTCTTGTCCAATTAGCAGTCGAGGATGTACTGGCCATCGAATGTTTAGTACCCCAGATGTCATGTAGTTTGGTTTCCACCTCTGCCTCGGATTTGTTTTCATTTGTTCTGGCCACCTGGCCTCCGGGGAGCTCAGATCGAACACTGAATTGGACATCATTAGCAGGGGGCGGTAATGGGGCGATTGGGGCGTTTGGGTGTGGGGGCGTGGCAGGGGCAGTAGGTTAAGGGGTTTGCCTTGTGAAAGTCAACCCTGGAGGCAGGTGAAATGACCAAAGGAATCGGTAAGTCGTCAGGGGGCAAGAAGATGACTCTTCGCTGAAGGACTGTAATTGAGATGGGTGCAAAATACGGCAGAGAAGAGGTCCTTCGGCCCTTGAGTCCTTCAGTCGAGTGGAGCCAAACAACAAGATGTCATATCATCGGAATGGCAGTCTCATTACGAGACTTTGTTCCTCACTTTGTTCGCTTCCCTTTTTGTGTCTTTTGAGCCGGCATTAATCAAAGGTCTTGGGGTTAATGTCTCGCCAACCGATGGGCTGGATAATGTATACACGATTGTGGTCATAATAATAGCACTGGGAATCGGAGATGATTTCACAGTTTTGGGGAAAGAATAAAATATCCTTCGAATCTAATCTTTTATCTTTAAAATATTAAATACTATTTCATGAATGGGAAATGGGAAGCAAAGCATAACAATTTTGAAAGATTAAACAAATAAAGACTTTATATTTTGTAATATACCTAGTTACCTCACTTGTGATATTAAGGATATTAAGTGAACTAATAAAAGCAAAAATTTAACAATGCACCTTAAACTTTAAGTATTTTTTTTGAAAAATGGTAATCAATATATGTATATATGCATTAATGATCAGTCATTTGATGTTTGTCATTTTTTGCGCTTTTATTTTAACCATAGCTGTGCATATTGTCTTTATTCACCAGACACACACTACACTAAGCGCCTGTTAATGACGCAATTTCCGCAAACGTAAACGGGCGCCTTTGGCAACCTTTGAGGGTCAGTTGCGTTGGCCAACTTCTTGGTGTTGTTGGCCACAGCTAATTAGCTTAGCGCATTTAAATCGACTGGGCATCGCTCATTTCTAAGGCATCTCTGTATATCCCTCTTCTTATATATATATAAATATAAATGTATATATACACGCCTGGAGAAATGGCAGTCGATAAATAAAATGGGGGTTAGCAATTCGAGAGGAGTTTCTCCAACAAGCCGCAACATGCGAAAACAACAACACGAATAACCCTTTTTCTGCAGACAATTCCAAGCCATTACACTGAGAAATGTGACACAATTTGAATAACATTTAAAATATAAAATTGAGCATCAATTCGGTTTGCTTCTCGGGGGGGGAATTGGGTTGAATATTTGGGTGGTATTTGGACACAGAACACCCAACTCACTGCCCTGATGGATTTGCCTGGAGAGAAAATTTTCTTGGGCCCTTTTTTTGCTTTGCCATTTTCCAGGCCGTGTTTTCTGGGCTGTCTGCTCATTTTTGTTTTATTGTTGTTGTTTGTCTCTTTTATTTTTTCCCCGACTTGTATTTTTGTATTTTTTTTTGCTTTGTCTAAATTGCGTAAATTATTGGCATATGTTGTCTTCGCAGTCCTGTCGAGGCAATGAAACATTTTTAACCCTTTTCCTCGTAGACGTCGCCGGAATTGACAGGGGCATAGGGATGGGGAAAATGTGGAGCGGTTGGGGCGGGAAAATGTCGATGTCGGCCTGGCATTTTATTCCATTTTACTGGCCATTTTTTCCTTAGCGCCTCTGTCTTCTGGCGCCCCCTTTTCTCGGGGATTCTCCCTTTTTTTTTTTGTGCAAACCGCTCCCTATTTTTGTGGCCCTTTTCTAGCCCCCTTTCACTCCCTTTTTAGCCGCCTCTGTGTGGCTGCCAGTTGGCTGTCATTTATCCCCACTTCGGGTTCAGTTTCGGCTTCCACCAATTTTCTCCGCCCCTTTTTTTTTATCATTTATGGCCGTCGTTCTTTGGCTTTTTATGTGCGCTATTTCGCGAAGTAGAACAATAGCCGCCCTCCAGCTCATTCATCCCACAGCCAAAGTCCTGGATCCAGGATCCTGAATCCTCGGCTCCTACTTCATCTTCGTGTGCTTTTGTTACAACAAAACGTGAAGGGGTGAGCCACTGTCCTTCACTATGCTTGCGCCCTCGCACTTCTTTATTGTCTTGCCAAAAGAAATAGACTTTTAATATACTTGGCCATTCAGAGCACAAAACATGCAGCTCCCAGGGAAAACTCCCTTTTCCCTACAACAAAAAACAGAAGAAAACAAGAAAGGAAAGCTAACTTCGGGCGGAGCCGAAGTTGAAATACCCTTGCAGAATATTCTGCAAATTATATTCTCCAAACTCATTCATAATGCATTCTTAATACTCATAAAAAATCCCAACTTCCTAACTTAACAAACACCAAAGTTATGGCATTTCCGATCAATCAGTTATATGGCAGCTATAAGATATAGTCGGCAGATCCTTATGAAATTTGGTACGTCTGATTGATTGGCCAAATATAAAACCCATAGAAAATCCCAACTTCCTAACTTTACAAACACCAAAGTTATGGCATTTCCGATCAATCAGTTATATGGCAGCTATAAGATATAGTCGGCCGATCCTTATGAAATTTGGTACGTCGGATTGATTGGCCAAATATAAAACCCATAGAAAATCCCAACTTCCTAACTTTACAAACACCAAAGTTATGGCATTTCCGATCAATCAGTTATATGGCAGCTATAAGATATAGTCGGCCGATCCTTATGAAATTTGGTACGTCGGATTGATTGGCCAAATATAAAACCCATAGAAAGTCCCAACTTCCTAACCTAACAAACAGCAGAGTTATGGCATTTCCGATCAATCAGTTATATGGCAGCTATAGGATATAGTCGGCCGATCCCGGCCGTTCCGACTTATATACTGCGTGCAAAGGAAAGAAGGGTGTGTGCAAAGTTTCAATTCGATATCTTTAAAACTGAGAGACTAGTTCGCGTAGAAACAGACAGACGGACAGACAGACGGACAGACGGACAGACGGACAGACGGACAGACGGACAGACGGACATGGCTATATCAACTCAGGAGGTGATCCTGATCAAGAATATATATACTTTATAGGGTCGGAGATGTCTCCTTCACTGCGTTGCACACTTTTGACCAAAATTATAATACCCTCTGCAAGGGTATAAAAACACAGAAAAACAGAGAAAAACGACAAGTGTCTGGGAGTGTGGAAATATTAGGCGATTTTGCCAGTTCATTGACTTGCCACAACAATAGTTTGAAGTTTGTCTGCCAAAATATGAGAGTCCGAATAAAATGGAACCAATTCGAAAAGCTTTTGGTGGGTCGGGGAAAAACAGAAGCTGAAAAGTTTTTCACTTTAATAGTTCGACCAATTTGAGAGTGGCTAAAAGGCCGGGATAATGGCAGCACAGGGAGTGCAAATAAAATCGCACTCCGATTTATTTGCACTTTTTGAGGGGCATTTTGCGACTTTATCAATTTGAACTTTAAAAGGAAAAACAAAAAGGAAATTTAAAGACGAGTGTGGAATTTATTTTACACTTTTAGCATTAGATAAAGATTTATAAGCTAGGTACCCTAAACAAAAGTGAGTTTTCTGGGTAGGAGTTTATCAATCAAATATATTGTATATATTTAATTAAATAATAATAATGTTTATCTCCTATTTTAAATCCATGTAGGCTATGAGCAACTGTCACTGTTTCTGGGGTTATGGAACCCATCAGATCAGTTTGTACACAAAACAGTGACTGAACATATCACAAAAAACCAAATTCCGAAACACTCCATCAAAATTTTGTTGTTCCAGATCTAGGATTTAAAGACAGGGCGACCGAGGATTTCCCCAACTTGAGATAATCCCGAGAACCTCAAGCTCTTGTCTTAAATACATAAAACATGGCCGAGAAGAAGACCGAGGAGGATAACAAAAGTTTGAGGAGCACTGCTAGTAGTTCTTCGAATCGTCCAAGTCGTTTGGAGGTCCAAAATCGCAGACAAGAACAGAACAATGCTCTAATCGCTCAACTTTACGCCAGTTTGGAGAGCGAACATCGTAAATTAAAGGACTTGGAACAGCGCAGATCGAAGCTAACCGAGGAAATGAAAAATCTACGGGCTCTTCTATTGGCGGAGAATCAACGGCGCAAACAGACGGTGGCCCTCGTTCCTGGCAATCCAATTCCCAGTGGCAGTCAGATAGCCAAAACTCCTCCCGAAAAATCGTCCACTTCCAGAGCCGATTCCATCAAATCCGTCAAATCTATGCCTTTGGAGCGCAGAGCTTCCACTAAATCGGTGACGATTGCCGAACCACCAACTCCAAATTTGGCCATTAGCAAAAAACCAAGGGCAAGCAGTGTCCAGAGTTTTCAGAAAAAAGGAAATCGACGAAGTCTCAAGGCTCCAGCAACCAAAAATAAACGGAGAATCACGCTAGGTGAGTGGGATAAAATGAAATTAGATGGGATAAAAGTATAAACTAATAATAATTTTCAAACTTTAATTTTTCCAGGTAACATATCCAATACCAGAGAGGATATGTTAAGCATGACCGACGAAATAACTTCTGTGGGCTCGAATTTGCGAACCCTGGAACATCGAAGATCCAATCAAGAGGCTCGAGAAGACATGGATGAAGTTTTGGTTTCACTACCGGCACTTTTTACCCTTTTGGATGCCCAAACAGAGTCAATTGATACTCAAATTGCAGATCAAAGTTTGGCCAGAGTACCAGCCACCGAAGCACCTCTTAGTCTTTTAAATTCTGATCAAGATCCTAATTTTTATCTGCCAAGTGCTAATTCTTTGTTCCAAGACTTACTGGGATACTATTCCACGCCCCCTATCAGCATGTCCGCCCCTTTGACGATCGATTTGCCAGAAGTATTACCCTCAATTGGCATAAGCGATTGTTCTGCGATCGTGGCAGAAGTAGTTGAAAGCGAAACCGAAGCAGATTTGCAACCCACAATATTTTAATCCTCTTGGAGATTCTTCTTACTACTACAACGATCCCTGGATCTGGCAACATTATTTTAAATAATACAGACATGGAAGCCCAAGCAACCGCTTTAAACTGGGGATAAAACGCAATAGCTTTGTACAGCCTTTTATTTAAGTTATAAAATCTTTTACAAAAAGTCTTTACATTTTAAGGACAAAATTAACTTCAAATAAAAGGTGAATATTGGAGTGCTTGCCGAAGAAGGAACAACAAATTATTTTGCTGAATCTATCAAAAATGTGGCATAATATTTACTGCCAAGTGTGGACCTCCTATTTTTGGGATGAAGGACGGGAAGCTACACATGCTCATGGCATGTCCTGACTGCCTGCTCCTTTTCTCAGCATTTCTTGTGCCTTTTTTATTCAATTTGCTGACCCTTGGTCCCCGGCCTCAAAGTGAAGTCCTGGGGGTCGAGGACACTCTCGACATCCATTTGAAAACAAATTAGTTGCCAACTGTCCGAAACAAATGTTGTCTAACGAGCAAAATCGAGTTGCCTCCCATTGTCATAAGAATACACATCAACTGGGTATGGAATACATATATGGTATATGTATAATGTGTCCCCCTTCCTGATGGAACTTTTGTGCGACTTGTTTGTCCAACGAAATGATATGAAGCTCGGCATTTCAATCATAATGTTCATCACATTTTTTTTTTTTTCTTTATTTTTTTTGTGAGATGGGGAATGGTGGGTCTTATTGATTGGACTGGGTCAAGAGGTTATATACTGGGTGGGATATTTGCTGGTGAAATGCACTTGAAGTGTAAAACTAAACTTGCAAGTCAAACCTAAAGCTGGAAAATGGAAAACTGAAAACCGAAAACCGACAACTGAAAACTGAAACTGAACTAAGCCAAACCGAAAACTAAACAAGTTTCTGGCTACCGAAAAACCACCTGACCCACACGAGCACACAAATTACTTATGTGCGGATGGTGGGTGGTGCGATGGGTGGATCGGTGGGTGGTGGGTGCAGGGTTGTGGGTGGCTACCACCGGTGGGTAGTCATACTTTTTTCGTTACTGTTGTTGTTTGTTTTCAAGTAGGTCATTAGAGAGGCCTTCGCCCTTCGCCCGGCCACTTGAATTATTAAATTCCCCCGGCTCCAGTTGCTCGGCTTTTCGAAGTTTTGCAGTTGAGCGAAGCGAAGCGCTTTTCCTGCCCTCGCTCCTCAAATATGCATGTACATTTATGTATGTATATATATACCCATATATATTCCTATTCGCATTCGTATTCCAGGGCTGCCAGCATGTTTCCATAACTTACCTAGAAGTGGCGAAAAGAGAGAAAGAGAAATATTTATTGTAATTTTTTAGTTTGAATTCGAGCAGCTTAAATGGGGGGAACTTTGACATTCAAGGGGGCTTAAATCAGCACGCAGAAAAGTGCATAACAATTAAGTTTTACAATTTATATACATTTTTGTACACGCTATAATTTATGAGAAATGCACACGTGTATCTCTGCATATTTCTATTTTTCGTTTTTGAGTTTCAGAATACTATATTTGCTAAGAAAGAAAATTTAAAATAATGTTTAGGTCACAAATATAGGTATTTTTATGGTAATTTTGGTGCTATTTTTACCCCTCTTCACTTATTTTTAACTATTTAAGTTTGAGTACATTCAAAAGTCCCCCCTTTGTGGCCCCGCGTTTGGTAGTCCCATAAAAAGTAATTGGAATTTTCATTTAATATAAAAGCTGAGCGAACACAGGCAGCGGAACGCAATCTAACCCACTTCGCAGTTTGCAATCGCACAGCACCCAAAAACTATGCATATAAACGGGTCCACTGATGTTCCACCCCCTCGAAATCCTTCGCCGCCTTTACCATCCATTTTGAACTGGAAAAAGGATACAATGTAGCCAGTGGAGCATCCTCATGGATATGTGTATCCTCGTACAGGCTCGGCTCGTTGCTCATAAAACTCACTCAAGTAAAAGTACGAATGGTTTTCGATATGAAATGCATGAAACTGACAGGCAAACATATTGCGCCGCACTGCCGAAACCCGCCCACAGTCACGCCCACGCGCCCCAATTCGCCCACTACACTTGGAAAAAAAAAATAAATCATTGACTTTATAATCAATAAAAAAAAATCTTTTAAGTGATACATGTTCAGACTTTAATAACAATATGAGAATTGTATTACCTTAAAAGGCTTTTTATGTCAAGTTATTTTATTTTTTGAATTTATTTAAAATGATGTGAATGTGTAATAAACATGTAATTTTGGTTAGCTAAAAAATAATAATTTCAACACATACATTTATTCCTATTAGTAACCTCTTTATTTAAACTGATGACTAATTGTGGATTTTTTTTTGGCTGTGCAGCCAGCCTCTTGTATCAGTTGGCTGACTGTTGGTTACCACTTGGCCGTTGTTGCTCCTCATCCTCATCCTCATCCACAGCCACTTCCTCGTCCTAGTAAGCTCTTCCATCTGTCTGCCCTCGTTACCGCCCCTTCACCCCTCCGGTCATTGTTGTGGGCTGTACATATATATATACATATATATTATATATTATATCCCAGTGAGAACTCTGCACCTCTCGCCTGTCTATTTATTCAGATATGAAAATGCATATTGTACACTCGACTCACGCCGCTTTATATGGGACATTTCTTTATCATCAGCTTTTTTTTTCTCCGTCTATACACACATATTTCTCTTTTTTTTTTTAATATGCAACTCTGTGGCATATGTGTGGAAGGACGTTGGAAAAAAAATGGATAAAAAACATAGTAGCTACTCATCGAGGCGTTCGTTTATTGCAATTGTGTTCTAGTTTCTTGAGTTTGAATTGAGGATGATTTCGAATGGAATTTTAGAAATGAAAACAATGCAACACCTTAAGGTGACAAAGCAAAAAAGGTACAATTTAATGGGTTAAGATCCTTTCTTTTCTTTAGTATAGAACGATTTTTGAGCTAGTAATCAGTAAATAAATTAAAAAACATTGAAATCTACCAATCAATAATAAAAAATCCTGTACTTTTCAACTATGTTTTTGAACAAAAAATTTAAGCCAAACTGTTATACGAAAAACTGACTTAAATTAGTTTTAATTCAGGGAAAGTCATAAAAAAGCAATTAAATTGGCTTTTACAAAAACCAGTTTTAGTCTAAAAAAATTATTTTTATTTTTGCAATCAACCATGGAATTAAACGCCAACCACGTTCTACAATTTCATTTATTTCTTGTTGCGCCCTTAAGCACTCGAAATATAAACTGTTTTATTATGACACAAAGCACTTTACCGTGCACCTGTGAAAGTTATATTTTCTTATTGAAATTGGCTTTTAATTAAAGTTCAAAGCACTTTACCTTACTGTATAGTTTATTTTCCGACTCATAATAAGTTTGAAATACCAATGTCTTCTGCATTTCCCTAGGATTGCCTTTATTTTCTTGTTATTTTATGCATTTTAATGCAACATACCCGATGACTCGAATGTTAATTAAGTCTTAAATCAGTGGCAATATTTTGGAAATGATTTTATGGGAATGCAAGTCAGACAACAAGCGATACATTTGACCCGAGTTGACCTGTGCATAATCGCCATTTGCCTTTGTCCGTGGCATTTTGATGGCGCTGTAAATTCCCGATGACACTCGACTTAATTACAATTATTTGCACAGGTGTGCAGGTGAATGTACATAGAGAAAAAACGCGTTTTACAAAATTAAATAGTTTCCGAAGAAATATTTTTAAGATTTTAAAGCTGAACGCCAAAAAATTTTAAATCGTTTTTTAGTAAAAAAAATGTTTTTAAAAAGTTATTTAAATGGTATCTTGTTAAGAAGCAGAACTTGTGATTTGCATTGGTAGGAACAAAAAAGTATGTATTTTCTCAGAAATCAAATAAAAACTTTACTTGAATTTAATTTTAGGAACGTCTTTACGAAAATGATGTTGTCATGTCCTTACATTTACTGTATTAAATCTTGAATTCATTTATATAATCCTAAAGCTTAAAAAAATTGTTCTGGAACGACCTTTACTCGCATAAAAACACTACAATAAGTATCCTAAAGTATATTAACTTTTCCTGCTTTTAAGAAACATTTTATGTATATTACAAATTTGTATGTTTAGAATTTTTGTTATGGAATTTGTATCGAATGCGTTTATCTTAAGCTCAGAAAGGTTTTTTTTGATTCCAAAGCCGTTTTGAAATGTATCTATGAAATGTTTCGAGTGCATTGACTGCTTTATTTACCTGCTGGAATGGTTCGGCTCGTGGGCAAAGGGCTCAGCGTAGATATTTCGCACGGGGGGCACTCGGCGGGGCAGGGGCGGTGGCACCGGATTGTAGCCATCCATGATGGTATCACAATCGGAGTACTTCATCGATTTCATAGTCATTTTGTGTCTGGTGTTCACTGTACCGAGAGTGCGAGAGCACTTCACTTCACGATTTATGTCGATTATTTATTATTTAATTATGTTTTTTTTTTTCTTTATTTGTGGCGTTCGCGCTCGCTCTTGTCGCTTATTAATGATTACAATTATTATTATTGTTAATGGCAAGTGCAGGATTCAGCGATCGCGAGTCGTCTGCACCCCGTTCGATGCATGGGCAGGGGCAGGAGGGGCCCACATGGGCCTCGGTGGCATCGCCACCCACGGATGGAAAAATATTTCCCTCGATTCAATGAAAATCTCTCCGTCGAAATCCTTATCTATCGGATTTCCACTCGCTCTGGATCTCCGTTAGCTTTTTTCTTAACTGATTTTAAATTTTTTTCATGGCTGCTGATTGGTTATTTCGGATCTGAATGGGAATAGAAAATATATATGTAAATAATTATAAGGAGTTGTCTTGGGGACAACAACCTTGTGACCATTCGTTACGCTTTACAATTCCTTAGGTGTTTTTTTTTCAAACGCTGTAATTTTTTAGTTTAAGTGTATTTTGACGTGGCTAATATTTTCTATTTTATTGTGTTCATTTCAATTCATAATTATTTATTTTTTGTTGGTTTAAATATTTTTATATTAGATTTAAATTACAATTTAATGCGAAATTGAATCCAACATTTATTTGTTATTTTTCTAAAACCCTGTCCTTTTATTTCCATTCGCTTAAAAATATTAATAAGAATTCCCTATTAAGTGCATTCAAACGTGTAAATGGCCCTTTTTACCCTATAAATTTAA